TTGAGAAAAGATTTGGAGTTTTACGAGCGAAAAAAATCGTTGATAATTATTTTTCAAAATCTAAAAATGGATTCGAAATGGGATGATGTATTCACATCAACATCAAGATTTTCGAATGGACCATCAACAAGCAGCCGGAGCATCCGTCCGAAACCAGTTTATCAAGAATATAAAATTGAGAACATTGTGCGAGTGAAATTTAGTCAGGAAAAACGGGAGGTTGTTTTTCAACCCAAGAACGGCGCTCCAATGAAATTCACCAATGATGAATTTGAGGACTTTCTGAATTTTCTGGATACGATCAACGATGGATGGTGCGATACAAATTTTTACATTGGAGAATACATTTACGTTAGCTACTGGCATGAAGAAGAAAGCAAAGGACTAACTGTGGTTGATATGCGGACCAATGAAGTGATGGCTTGGAACGAAAATCATCTTGAGATAGTTTTAGCCCACAAATTTAACCTGTACGATATGTTTATTAAAATGGAATAAAACAACTGAGTAAAAAAAAAAAACAAAACAAGGTAGTTTATTAAATTTACAAAACACAAACAAATATCATTATAATTATAAATAAGTTTAAATGAATAATACCACAACTTATAGGTGAAAAAAATCCTAACCTAAAAACCTTAAAACTACAACCCCTTGAAAGCATGCTGAGAAAGCTGTCCCTGCTGTCAGTCTTGACTCTCTGGAATTTCCGATGATTCCTTATACAACTCTATATCTCTATGACCCCAAGCGAGCGTGTATTCAGTACCGGGTATAACGTAGCGTTTGTCGTCCGCGTAAGACAAAGCTACTTTATTTTTAAGTTCGATGTACATATCATGTTTATGTGAACGGAAAGTGTTCATCTGACGATGAATGAGCGTACCTTCTACGTCAACCGCAGTCTTATAATCATCAAGGGTTAATTCTTTCTTGGTGACGTAATCAGGTACGCCTTTCGCTTTTTTAGTCAACTCTCCTTCCACATTAACACAATACGCCTTCGCCCCAGTACCTAGAAACTCCCACACGATTTTCCCTGCATATTCATCTTTCATTTTACCCAGAATAGATTGGTTTACAGGTACATTATGTGGGTTATTCTGTGAGTAATTAGAAGTATCGAATTTGTCTAAATTTTCTCTAATATCATCATAAAAATTCTCAGTTTCTATATTTAAAATAAGGGAGTCAGTATCAGTATAGAGTAGGGACGCTTTATTCCCGTATTTAGGCTTGATATAGCTATACAGAAAATCATACATGATTGTCTTGGATATATCCAAAATGGCGAATCCCACGTAAATAGGCTTATCATATTTAACTCTCTGTTTAGCCATATGGATAGCTACTAAATTCTCACCAAAAATGGTAACGTCTTTAAAATGAGGCTTTGAGATCCACGCTTCTGCTCCCCGTTTTCTTCCAATATTTTCCCAATGGGTAATTAGCTTGATATCTACCCTTTTCTCCACGTTTTCCATAGTTTTACCAAACACGGCATTATTCATAAGTTTGAAAAAATCTTTTTCAAATTTATTGGAAGCAGCATTCCGTTTTGCTGTGTTTAGGTCAATGTAAATTTTGAGCCAAGGAGATTGATTGAAAGTGAGAACGCGATGAATTTTTTCCAATTTTATGCCATGACTTATAGCCTGCTGCAAATTTTGAAGATGAATAACGTATTTTTCTTTTCGATTGAAATTTGGAATAAGTTTTTTAATTTTAGAACCTTCTGGAGCAACGGATTCTGGGCAAAAGGGTAGCTCATTATGCGTATAATGCAGGTCTTCCGGGTATACTAAATCAACTTCGAATATGTAGCCAGTGCTTGAGTTTTTATCTAATTTCAAATAGTCTAAGTTTTGAATTTCTTCCGCGTCAAGCCATTTGAAGTTACCCGTCGGTAAAAATTGGCTCATGGCTGCACCATATAAGTTGGTAGCATCCAGGTACATTAAGTAAGAAGTAGGTTTGGAAGCATCGTAGTGAGGAACGAACTTATTATTTGCGACAGCTTTCCTTATACTACACTGACTGACCCCTCCGCGAATGCCGCGCTTCAGGAAGTGTATCATGTCAATATCTGTCAGTAATTCCAACTCCATAGCTGTTGTTTTAAGAGCAGCATCAAAAGATAGCCCTGGAGCCGTGTAATACTGACACGGATCTAGACTATAGGTTGATAGACACACGTCTCTAAAATTTTCAAAAACATCAGCCAGAATTAATACGTCGGATTTTAAATAAATATCTGAATATTCACCTAAAGTTTTACATTTAAACAAATTCCAAGCTTTCTGTGCACGCTCGTAATCTTTTCGCTTGATGGCTTCTTTTCTCAAATGATTGTAGAAGTCATCAATGGATGGAAGCTTGGTGTCGTCTAATTTCGAAAAAGAATCCACGTAAGAATACGGGAAGACACCCTTTTGTCGAATGACCTGAAATTCGTCTTCCGCGGGAAAATATTTTCTAACTTCTCGACATTGTTCTGGTTTTAAGTTTTGTGATAATTTATCTAAGCTTGATGCCATGAATCGAAAACTGTCGAGGAAGCGCAATTTCAAAAATACCTGTTTGTATTTACCTGCTTCATCGAGTGGGATTTTATCCACCAAAATATGTTTGGTAAATGAAATGTACCGCTCCTTATTTTGGGGGATAACATCCACTCTTTCGTTTTCTTGAGCCAATTCCTTGACAAAGAGATGGGAATCAAAATTGGACATACAATGAAAGAAGATAGGGATGAAATTTGGAATTTTAAAATTAAGGTTACATTGAGAGTGGGCTGCAGCTCGGAAATTCCCAGTGAGATGACAGTGATCCCTCACTCTTTCGTCTTCTGCTTTAAATGGTTTCTCGCAAAGATGGCAATTTTCCGCATTGCGAAACTCATCCTCTTGTTCTTGACTTAGAGGGTGCATGGGCACTATGTCTTTCATAAATCGATTATAGATTGATTTACAATCATTCTCTAACCAGTCTACGAAAACTTTGTGTGCATCAGGTCCTCTGAAAGTCTTGAAAATCGAATGAGAATCGTCAAAGTCACATTTAATGTAATAGGCGAAAGAATAAGGAACAGCCTTGTGAGTTTTGATAGTATAGGAATTTTCGGGGTCCAGCTCGGTTTCCTCTGCCTCGACAGGTTCAATGATTGTCTCGAAATCGGCGTAAACAACAAAAGGTACCTTCAATTTTTTATCGAAATTTGTGAATTTCAGGATATTCTCAGGAACCTCTTCACCGTATTTATTTTTCTTTAAATCTGTTGTCGGTAATTGCACTGAAACGTGACCACAGTCGTATTCTTGATGAGCTTTCAATTTTTGCTCAGTTGAGAAATACACCAAACATCCATCACACAAGTATTTAGCTTTTTCATGTTTAGATAATTGACTTGAAATCAAGCGAGACATGTTTCTTATTAAACAATAGTGACTATCACCAAAATCATTACTGATTAATAATAAATTCACATGTTTCGCTTTTCGAGACTGAGTAAAGTAGTATAAGGGACCAACAATTTCAATAATATCTCTACCATTTTCATAGGCGTTATCTAATCCATAAACATTGATGGAGATATTATTGAGTTGCTCAAACTTACTAATGTCTTTAAGTTTAATTGGAAATTCCATACCTGTAAAGTCTAGCTCGTTCTCAAAAGACAGATAGTTCGCGACTCTATTTGCTGGTTTAGTTCGATCAACTGGATGTAGGTGAGCCAAGACTGACCACATGAAGCATTTTTGGTCACGATTTTGTATATTTAGGACAGCTTTCTTAGCTTCTATCGCTTTTGGTAGCGCGAGATACGAAGACGCTCTCAAGGGGTTGACCTTATTTATCGCTACATCTAAGTGTAGGAGTTGCTGCAGCGCCCAGCCTGTAATAAACATTGTCTAGTAAAAAGGACATACAAATAAAGTTCTACATACCACTTTCTTTTTCCTGGAATTCCGAACACTTTTTATCCAGGATGGCTGAAAACTGCTCGAACAGCTCCTTCAGATCTGCACCATCGCTTAACAGGCGGAATTTGGTGTTGAAGGACTTAACCTCTTCCAACTCTTTCGCCTGCAGGAGGAAGCCGCCGAAAAGCTCCACACCGACTTTAATATGACCAAATTTCAACACATTATCACCTATCAGCTTGATAAATTTTTCAAGAAGATGTCCTAAAAATTCCTTGACGCTGGTAGGGTCCTGTTTTGAAGAAAGCCGGTATGTCGCAATTCGGGCCCTAAAAGATGTTTTTACGAGCTGTACGCCTTCTTCCTGCTGGACACAGGTGTTGGCCAGGTGTTGTAGACTCCGCAGATGCCCGGCCCATCGATTGGTCGAAATCTCAAGAGCACATTCCAGACAGTGACGTGTGGATGACGTTGACGCTTTGAAAATAAAGAAAAAAAAAAAGAGAAGAGTTAGCAAATACTATACAAACACGAAAAAACCTTACCATTATTTTGGTCAACTCTAGCTCGTTCAACCATGGGAACACAAAAATTTTCTGCTTTACGCTTTGGGGCCCTTCTGTGTTTTTCTTTGAAATGACGTTGGAAGGCTCCCTCTGATTTGAAAATTCCCCCGCATTGACTGCAAATTTCAACCGCGGCTCTACAATCCCCATGACGCACTAAATTATCCTTTCTGGTAAACGATCTAGAGCAGTATTCACAGATAAACATTTTTCTAAAAAAGCAAATCAAACACAATAAATAATAATTGTTAACTTTCATGAAAAAATAAAAATAAAATAAAATTAAACTTACGGTTCTAGAGGTAATTCAAACCGAGAAGAAATAGAAAGATTAACTGGTATTCTCCAACCTAAGCTTCCTTTCAATATGTTTTCACGACCACCACCACCACCATCGCCATTCGAATGCTTATGTGAATACATGATGTTATAATGAAAGTGACTCCATTTAAATAATAAATAAGTTTCTAGTTTAATTCAAGTTGATTTATTTCTACAAAATGTACAACTTTCCGTTTTTAAAATCTCCTGTAAATTTTTTTTACACTTCATACAAGAAAAATCAGTATTAAGCGTCTGTTTACTCTTCAGTTTTTCATGTTTAGACACTGTCGCAAGACGATCCAAGGGATACACTGTTCTTCCACATTCTAAGCAAAGCCTTACTAAACCTTCTAGATATTCTTCTTCATAGAACACTCCACCCTCTTCGATATTTGAACATTGTTCAGGAAAATAATTTTCGTAAGTCGTGATAAATATTTTTATGAAATTTTTCAAACGGCATTGTACCTTAAAAATGAAAAAATAAATTATTGAAAATAAATTATTAAAAAAATGGTACCTTATTATAGAACATTTTAGATAGTTATTAAAATCATTTATCACTATCACTAGCACTAAATTTCTCAAACCGTCTCCTCTCTTCCTCTCTAAACTTTTTTTTGAAACTTTTGGATTTTTTGGGTGGAATACTCCTTAAAATTGGATTGGCTAATACATACTCCGTTGGATCATAAGTCGGTTCGTTTGTATCCCAGTCGAGCCAATCTTCCTTAGGAAGTGGAAGAGGTAATTCTACTACTTTTGGCGACTGCTGAAGTTTAGGAGAAGTAGAAGGAGGTTGAGAAACACTATTCAATTTACAAAAACACTAAAACGAAAAAAATATTTTCCACCTCTCCAACCATTTATTGTTCAAAATCAGTTATCACTATCACTTAATTTCCCAAACCGTCTCTTCTCTTCCCCTCTAAACTTTTTTTTGAAACTGTACGTTTGTATCTCAGTCGAACCAATCCTCCTGAGTTCGGTGGTTCCTGTTGGTTAGGAGAAGTAGAAGGAGGTTGAGAAAATCTAGTTACTGCACAATAACACTAAAACGAAAAAATATTTTCAACCTTCCTACTATTTATTGGTTGAAAAATGAAATACAATTGAATTTACCTGGTCAAAATCTGTTTGAGTACTTTTATCCATTTTTAAATTTCACGAAAATTATTCAGACGGTGTATTACAAAGCCGGTAAGGTAAGTTGGAAACTTGGATAATTTTTGAATCTCTTATTCGTATTTATAAGAAAGCAAAGTCGCTTCACATTTTGAATAACGAGGAAACGTGATTCACTTTTCAATTAATTATTTTCAATTGATGATAAATGATACACGAAAATGCTATTAAACGATACATAGAGATCCTGGTTAGAAAAATTTAAAAAAATATATAATTAAGTACTTTGTAATTTGTAATTACGAAACGTGACACAAGATCACGATTTTGTTAATCAATGCAAATTGACGGTATTGTTTCAGTGCGTGTAGTAGGTATGAGTTTGTATAAATAGGGTTTCTTTGAGTTAAAAACACAAGTTCTGTTTTCTGCGAGCAGACAGGTAGACATTTTTTATTATTATTATTCTTATTTTTTTTTTTTTTTTTTTTTTTTTTTTTTTTTTCACATTATTCTTTTTCATGTATTCTTTTTCAGATTAGCTATGTCGATTGCGGAAATTAATGATAAATATAGTTTCAAAGAATGTAATAAGAAAGAAGAGTTAGAAATTGGCAAACCGTACAAAATCATTAATATTAGTAAAATGGATACAAAATTTGGGCCTTCAATTTTGGTTGCATTGGAAGATGGAAAGTCCATTTTTCTACCCAAGAGATATGATTTTACTCAAGAGGAAATTAAAAAATTGACTAATGGTTGCTCCGCCCTAATTTACAGAGGTGAAAAAAATGTTGGGAAACCTTTACCAGCTGCAGTTTTCGAATTTGCAGAATGGACTATGTGAGTGTTTTTTATGTAAGTAAATTTAACCTAACTGCGAAAAAATTATACTTACCACTTTTTTGATTTTTAGAACCAGTCATGAAATTTATCCAACGGATCTATACACAGCCTTTCCAGATCATACACATTTTTGTTATACTTGTCAAAAATGTTTTTGCTTTTGCGAAAATTCAATTAAAAAGCATACCTACATTAGAAGAAACGAACATAATCTACTCTGTCATGAACAAATGTTCGAGTCACCATAGAATTACTGTGTTTTATTTTCTTTGCGTTTAAATAAACTTTTACCGAAAAATTGTTGTTTCATTGAACTTCATCACCTGAGCCTGGGAACTTTGGCAACTGAACCTATACAGGTATCCGGACCTAGATGGCGCCTCATACGGCAGGTAGTGAGTGTACAATAGCCCCCGGGGGTATTATAGGCAACTGAACCTATAGATGGCGCATGCAGGCATGCTATAAGCTCCTCCGGAGGACGGAGGTTGCAGAACCGGCCATTTATATCTACTTGAGTGTAGCTGTAAGCAGTGCAAAAATTAAAAAGAAATCATGGAACAAACGGAGGTGTCTGAAAATGAAGAAGAGGAGGTTGAATAGGTACTAGATACAAGGTACCTACCTAATTATAAGGATTAAAAACAATACATATTGGTTTTATTTTTATTCTTCTAATTTAAAAAAAAAAAACTGACCCGTCTGCATATTATAAATATAGGTCTGTTTCTGCAGAAATCACAAACCAGTCAGAGTGAATTTCATTGGTCGAAAACAGTCAGAAATCAGTTTCAACCAATGAAATTCACTCTGATTTGTAATTTCTGCAGAAACAGACCTTATATTTTCAGCTACTAAATCGTACCTACTAAATGGCGTAAAAACGACAAGCCGCTGACGTCGTCCGATCCCGTGCACGCTGCGCCTAAACTTTCAAGATTTCGCGATTTTGTAAAATTCACAGCAAAAAAACTATACATCGGAGATAAAAGATTTTAACTTTAAAAAGTTTTTGAATGTTTCTTCTTTCTTTGCTTCGCAGCATGTATGTGGAAAAAGTTGAAAATAAAAAATTTGTCGCTTAGTGAAATTTTAGAGTCATATTTTGTGACGTAACAGTTTAAACGTCATTTAAAAAATATAGAACATATTTCGGTACAGCAATGTATAGATCTGTTAGAAAGCCCAATAAAAGGACTTTATTTTGGTAAAAAAGTCGATTTCCTAGCTTTGTTAGTTTTAGAGATATTAGAGTGTGAACTTTTACATTTTTCGATTTTATCCAAATTGGTGCTATTTTTCTAAATAAAAAATCTCTCGACCACTAAAAAATATCGTAAATCACCATTTCGAATAGCCACTAAGATACTTAACAATAATATAAACATTTCACCTGGTTGTACGCCGATTTTTTTTATCTCGGTAAATAGGCGACTTTTTGCCTCTGTTTCGCTCCACTACTACTAGATACACGTGGTATAGTACCTAGAAACATGTAGGCCTATGTCACATGGCATCCTTTTGATGTGTAAACATCTTTTATGGCGCTATGGTAAATCTTGGGAATTGGGAAATGTAAAAGCCGATGTGACATCATACATCAGAATATTGATTCATGATCAGAAAATCCAACATTGATTGTCGAACACAGAGTTTTCATTTGACCAAATGATGAGCAGACATAATCTTTTAACGTAGAGGTAGCAGGAGTTATTCTTCTTGTTGGTTCGGTAACGTGCATTGAGAGATTATAAGAACTTGAAATATTTTTTAGAAACTCAACGTTCCAAAAGGATTGATTCAAATAGTCAACGTCAAGGTCACCCGCAACAATCCCGTAGCATTACTATATATCCATGAGAGCAACATATCCAGCTTTTCAAAGAAGAGATTTATATTTTTCTAGAAAACTTAGAGACTAAAACATAGTGTGGTAAATAAATTGTATCATCTGGTTTTAGCCAGTGCTCTACAATAACAACCATCTCAGGAAACTTATGACAAAATTTAGAAACAGCAAAAGATCGTCCTCGTTATTTGACACAGGCCTTATATTTATTAACATTAGGTTGCAAGTTTTTTTTTTGTCTTGGCTGACTAAAAAAGACTGATTATCGCTATCACAGTATTTCCGTTTGGCAAAGTCTTCTTTGCATAAACTAGGTTTTCAAGAGAAGGAGGAAACTCACAAGTGAAACAACTACTATTACTAATACTATCATTATGAAAATTATTACTATCAATGCTAACCGGTAGATCCTGAGAGATGCCACCACCAACATTATTTGAGCAAATTGATTGCCTTGCTTTGTTGGTGGCTTAGGAAAATTTTTCGACTGATGATATTCAAGCCTATCCTACTTAGATAAGGAGAATTACTTACAAAACAAGATGAAGTCAGAAATTTGTTCAAAGATATGACTCTATGTTATTATTTAGGTCATACAATTTAAGAAAAATGTCATTAATTTCTTGGTTCGTTGAAGAAAAAGTTTGTGACAAGCTATTTATTGGGGTGGACCATGTTACCATGTTTGTAAAGAAGCACTTGTTAGATAAGAGTGTTAACACCTTTTTTGATCACCCCCTTAATTCCTGGACCTACCAGAACCACAACATATTCATTGTCTGTGCAGTCTTTTATATAACAATCAGTGTCTTCCACCATGATGTCAAACTGAGCACCAGGCTTACAAACCAATTGAAGAGTGTAATCAGCCTTTAGGTTCCTGCAAAGGTAATCATACATAAATTTTTCAAAGCCAACTGTGAGAAAAACAACTTGTTTTTTCTTACTTGTGTTTTCCTTACTTGTGTTTTCCTTTTTGGTTTGATTCTTGTTTTATACAGGGTGTCCCACGGTGGATGGCGTATTAGACGTTAATGGAAAACTAAATGCGGATCATTTTAAAAATTTGGCAACCGGCATAAACCACCATGATCTAAGCTTCAAAAATATTTTTGTTTATGCCGTGTTGCCGCTTCTACTCTAAACCAGTGGCAACATTGCCATTTTAAATGGAACACCCTGTATATGATTGCATATTTGGATTCTACGTGAAATTCTGAGCAGATTTCATGTGATATACCCTATACCTAAGTTCAACTGTTTCAGAAATATTGACAGTTGAAAATTGCCTTTTTGCAACTTTGACAGGCTGTGAAACCTGAACCTTTGATTTTGGATGAAAACCGATTTTACATTCCTATCTTAGATTTTCATAAGCTATCATTTGACACCAACTTTGAACTTAATCCATGATTGAAAATTCCAATTTAATTTAATCTCCGGTTGGTTGGTATCAAATGATAGTTTATAAAAATTAACCGTTCAGGTTTTACAGCCTGTCAAAGTTGCCAAAAGTCAATTTTCGACTGTCAATATTTCCAAAACAGTTGAACTTAGGGATAGGATATATCACATGAAATCTGCTCGGAATTTTACGTAGAATCCAAATATGCAATCACATACAGGGTGTTCCATTTGAAATAGCGATGTTGCAACTGATTTAGAGTAGAAACGGCAACATCGCATAAACAGAAATATTTTTAAAGTGTAGATTATGGTCGTTCATCCCGGTTGCCAAATTTTTAAAATGATCCGCTTTTTAGTTTTCCATAAACGTCTAATACGCCATCCACTGTGGAACACCCTGTATTTGTTGAAAATATTATTGTCTACAGTGTTAATAATCCTCCTGTTTGTTACTTCATTTTGTGTGCCTGATTCCTATAATTCTTGCAATAGTGATGTTGTATAAATTATAATATCGACTATAATTTTTTTTTAAATATAGGTTCATAAAAGAAACTAACGACATCATAAACGAAACCAAAGAACTCAATAAGGAAAAACAACAAGATGTCAAAATTGTATTTGAAATAAGTGCAAACTCATTGGAAAAAGATTTGCAACTTTTGCATGAAGACTCGGACGAAGTGATTTTTGTTGATCAAATTGACGTGAAAAATGATTTGGGAGCTTGTGCAGAGATTCGAGATGAACCAAAAGAGACGACTGAGAAAAAAGAGGGATTTGAAAGTCTAGAAGCGAATGGAGTTGCTGACAAAAATATTAAACGGTAAGATTTATTTATTTGGTAACAGAGAGGTAGATTTATCAAACAATGCAGCAACGTGCCTTGGATATATCTAACCATGTCGATTCCCAGTGGTGTATTTGTGATTTGAAGAATTTATAGGAAGCTGAATTTTGTTTCCTATCCTAAATACTAACAAATCATAATAATGACTATGAAAAATTGTTAAATCTAGGTACATAAAAAGAACCAACACGACCAAGAATTTGAAGGAAAAGGCACTCAAGCAACCTCCTAAACAACAAAAAGTTGAAACTGAGACGTTTGCAGGCTTATTGGATAAGAGTTTGCAAGGTTTGGATGAAGACTTGGACGAAGTGATGTTTGTTGATCCAGCAGAAAATGAAGCTGGACAAAAAAATACTAAATGGTAAGGGTTTATTTATTATTTGACAGAGAGCGTGCATTTACATTGCTATCTTAAATATCGTTCAAATTTAGGTATGTAGCGGGTGATTGTCTACCTTATGTGGTTACAATCAGTTTGCTCAGATCGCAAGAATACCTGAAGTTTCAATGAAGTTATTTACAAGTACACATGGTGTGTCACAAAAGTGTGGCAGAGCAAAGTTAAACTTTTTTAAATGGAACATCTCATATATTATTGACCCATTCGATTAGCCTTTCCAATCTGATTTCAAATATACCAGGTTTTTTGGGTTTATTCACAATTGTCTGGGAGAAAATGAGAAAAAAAGGGGTGGAATAATTGCATTTTTATTGAAAAAGGTGATCTATAGAGACCACCAGCAAAATATAAAGGTAATCATTCAAGTAAAAAATCCATATTATTTCTTTAGAATGGAATATTCAGAACCTGGACTATGAGGAATAAAAACCTAGTATATTTGGAATCAGGTTTGCAGTGTCGGCTCGTGACTATTTCAAGTGAGGAGGCTAAAAGATTTTAAAGATTTTCAGTGATTTTGAGTAGATCTTACGAGTTTTTCTGGGATTTTGACCAACTTGTATACACATTTTCATCAATTAACCGCTCGAAGTTTAGTTAACTCCATAAAATTGAATAGGATTTCGAGGATTTTCAAAAAACTTTACGTAATTTTAAAAGATTTTAGATTCATGAGATTTTAGGTGATTTTGGATCATTTTAGGGAATTTAGAAACGGTTTTTATGGCGTTTTTACCAATTAATTTAGGGGAGCCTTCACGATAAATATTCCATGGGAATTCTGCGAAAATTTTTGTTTATTCCATAGAAATTCCTCAGAATTTCACTAGAATATTTTATAGAAATCCTCGAAATTCCATTCAAATGACAAATTTGAATAGAAAAACAGAAAGTCCTAGAAATTTTATCATAAGATTTCATAATACTTTTCCGAATTCCACCATAAAATTCAATGGAATTCTTGTACAAAAATTCCTCGGAATTACAGTAGAAGATTTCATGAAATTTCGACAGAAATTACTCAGAATTTCTCTAAAATTTAATTCAAGTTTTCGGAATTCTGCCGAAATTTTTCGAAATTCCACGAAAATTATGTTTAATTCCGACGCAATTTTTCGGTTTCGATATAATTTCACTGGAATTCCACAATAAAATCTATTGTGGAATTCCATGTAGGTGTAATTCGACGAGAATTCCTTGAAATTTGACCAACATCGAACACAATCCTCCAAATTCCCCATAAATTTTTCCAAATTCCCTATAAATTCCCCAAGTTTTTAACAAACAATTCCAAGGTGGTTTTGGCTCTTGGAAAATACATCTCACACTTTCAAAGTTTTCCTGGAAAACTAATTGGGGGAAGAGGTGAAACTTTTTGCATATAAAGAGGAAGATTATTATTTTCTCAAAATTTCAAATTTTTCCAGTGGAAAATAACAACATAAAGAATCTTGAAAATCAACCTACAATAACTGAATTAATTGAAAATACAGTCTCACATAATTCAATGTTTTCCTAAAAAACTAGCAAAGGCAAAAATTTGAAATTTTTTGCATGTTAGGAAAAAGGTTAAAGGCTCATTTTCCCAAAATTTCAAATTTTTTTTAGTGAAAAATAGGATTTCGGAAAGATTTCGAGGTATTATTCACTGTGACAAGATTTCAGATTTAGAGCGATTTTGAGAAATTTCGGTTGATTTCGGGTGATTTCGAAAGATTTCCGGTGATTTCGAAGGATTTCGGAGAATTTCAGGTGATTTCGCAAATATTTTAATTTAATTTCAGACTGTTGCTTATCTTATAAGTATATTCAAAAGTGTATCAGTATAAACTGAAAACGGCCGCGTTGGCCGATTTATGAATTTTGAGCCAATTGCGAGGGATTTTTGGGTTTAAGGAAAGATTTCTGAAAGATTCAAGGGATTTCGGAGTGATTTCGGACGAATTTGTGACACGATTTCAGGGAGTGATTAACCTCTCGAAGATTTCATCAAAGTTTTTTGGAATGCCATTAAAATTTTAAGTTATTCCATAGGAATTCCGCGAAAATTTTAAGTAATTCCATAGAAATACCTTAGCATTTCATTAGAAGATTTTAGGAATTCTTGGACAAATTTTTTTCGGAATTACAGTATAGGATTTCATGAAATTCCTCGGAATTCCACTAAGATTTCAATTTCAAAATTCCATATTTTTTTTTTTAACTTTACTAAAATTCCTCAAAATTTTACCACTGAAATATCCTGAAATTCCACAAAATTTTCATAAAATTCTTCGGAATTTCATTGACATTTCTGTTAATTTCTTATAAATTCCTCGGAATTCACTAACATTTTATGAGAATATCCACGTTCATAGCCGAAAATTTCTTGAGAGTCCAATGAAACTTCAAGGGATTTTTCAAAATTTAATTTATTTTCATTAGGATTTTTCGGAATTTCACTGAAATTCTCTTTTAATAGCCAGGAATTTCTGGAAGTAATTTCTTAAAAATTCACCGAAATATATTGAAATTTCATGTCATTACATGAGAATTTTTCTGAATATCATCGAAATTCTATGTTTTTAGCTGGAAATTTCCCTTGTGCAAATTACACTGCAAATTTTGCATACAAATTGTCAAAATTAATAAGTGGAAATTTTTGGAAATATCCCGGGGAAAATTTCCAGAATTGTCATTTTTGACATTGATGCCCGTTTTCCCATTTAAAACGCATTGATGTCAGAAATCTGTCAAAGTGTATATCCTTGACAAAAGCAGTTTATATGGAAAAGATCAATAGCAATCAGCATCAATAAAAGAATTCGACACAATGTAGTAAATAAGTTTCAAACTCGGGAAATTTCCTATCAAAAAAAAAATTGGCTTCAGACAAAATTTTCAAAAATTTCCGGAAATATTCTATGCACTAGTTATATTACTACTGGAAATTCCTCGGCATTACTAAAATTCAGTAAAAATTGAAATGTTGGGAATTTCGGTGCAGTTTCATGTAATTGTTCAAAATTCCTCCATGTAATTCATTTAGGGTTTCGTGTAATTCGATCGGAATTTCACTAAAATTTCAAGTAATTCGAGAGGAATTTAAATTTAATGTGAATTCTATGGAAACTCCGCAAAAATTTCACATCTAATCCCTTTTTCAGAATAACATAATTATTCTACCGAAATCCCTCGAAATTCCACTAAATTATGGAATTCTGAGACTTTAACAGATTTTTGGGGATTCCAAAGGATATTTGGGAAATTAAAGGAAATATTTTTCAGAAATAGAAAGTTCTCGTGCATCACACGCTACGCTAATACGGTACCGCTAACAATACGGTATTTCACATGGTATTTTAGAGTTCTCGGACACGAAAGTACATAAATTCTCTAATCCCTTCTGTTCACATTTTGACAGCTGATTTGAGTGATCTAACCTAACTTTTTTTGCTTGTTTTCTAATTTTTATTTATCCTGAAGATTCCTGAGTTTAATTATTGTTCTATTGGTGTTTTTATGGAGGAAGTATTAGAAGTTGCTGTTTTTGCTGACATGAATGGAGCGTTAACTAGTTTTGACATAGCATAGCGTTACGGTAAAGGATCCGCTAAGTTCCGTTAGATAGCGGGCTCCGCTAACGCTAATACCGTAAGAACTGTCATACTTGTCGAATAGCGTTACGGTATTTGAAATTTGGACGGCACGAGAACTCTCTAATGTCAATGATTGGGTTTAAAATAACCTATAAATCGAGATTTGATAAAAACATATGGCAACGCTGCTTATGATACAACAAACGTCAAAAAATTGAAATATGAAAGTAGGCCTTGGTTTTTTTGAGGGTCGATATAAAATGGCGTCTTTTTGTTTCAAAGATTACGATCCGAAGGGCCGAAGTATTAAAATCATTTGACAATGAACGGGTTCGTATAACTCCGGCCCTTCGGGCTCGTATAACCTCGGACCTTCGGGCTCATGATTAAAATAACTCCGGCCTGTCGGGCTTGTATAACTCCGGCCCTTCGGGTTCGCATGATTCCGGCCCTTCGGACTCGTATAACCTCGCCCCTTTGAGCTCATAATTGAGATAACCTCAGCCTTCCAAAATCGAGATTCGAAAAAAAACATATGGCAACACTGCTTATAATACAACAAACGTCAAAAACTTGGCCGGTCCTCCGTTTGGCTCTTTTCTACGTATTCGCCGAGGCTAATTCTATATGCCCATGTGGGTTTTTTTAAAATTTTGACAACTGCCAATGTCAAAAATTTTTACCTATTCTTTTTTTCAAAAAACAAATGTCAGAAAACGATCCCCAGGCTTCGAAAACCCTAAAATAAGAAGTTTCATCGATATATGTCAAAAACTAACCGCCTGGCAACGCCGAACGTCTTTTTTGACATATGTTAAATGTTAAATGTGGTACTTCCTACGTATTCGCCGAAGCTAAATCTATATGCCCATATAGGTTTTTTTCAATTTTGACAGCTGTCAATCTCAAAAAGAAAAATCTTTTGTTTTTTCCAAGAAACAAAGGTTACAAAACAAGTCGTTTTTTAGTGGGTTTTAGGGTGAGATTTATGTAACAACATGTAGCAACAGTTGGTACAAAAAATTCAATTTTCCGTCGGGTTTGGAATTCGAATTTTCGAATTTTCCCGGCTCCTGATTGGTTTGGGGATTTGAATTTTGATTATTCCCGGCTCTTGATTGGCTTTAAATTTTGAATATTTCCGGCTCTTGATTGGTTTTAAAATAACCTATAATCTCGGCCCTTCGAGCTCGAGATTTGAAAAAAAAAACATATGGCAACACTGCTCATGATACAACAAACGTCAAAAAATTGAAATTTCAAAGTAGACCTTGGTTTTTTTGACAATTGATACAAAATGACGTCTTTTTGTTTCAAAGATTACGGCCCGAAGGGCCGGAGTATTGAAATCAGTTAACAATGACCGGGTTCGTTCGGATAAAACTTTTGTCGCACGACACTTTGGCAGTATCGACAGATGTCACCTGTCAAATTTGACACATGTTCGCCTTTTTCCCCGTTCTACTATAAAAGCTACGAAAATCAAACCCCGGTACAAGGCAGCTTCACGACGCCAACTATCGATTTGTGTCAAAAAAATTGGACAGCTGTCAACGTCATGAAAGTTTATTTTTTTTTATTTTGCGAATTTCGAGAAAAAAAGTGGTGGAAAACGATCCCCGGACCCCAAAAACCCTAAATAAAAATTCAAAAAAAAAACCAACGAAAATGACATTCCAAAACCTACTTGATAAAACTAAAGTTTTTCTCACTTACCCCGTTAAAACACTGGAAATTTTTGGTGGAAAATGAAGAAAACTCAAAGCCTCATATGTACTTTAAATCAGTTTTCCCGAATGAAAAATCCCCGGAAAAGTGAAAATTCGAAGAAAAACTGAAAAAAATGTAAACACGTTAATTGAAAATGGCCGACTGTCAAAAATGCTTCCTTGATTGAAATTAGCCACAAGCGATGTTGCCACATCAAAAGCATTTTAAATGGGATTTTGCTAATTATGGCATTTAGAACTAGAAATTTTCACTAAAAAATGAAGAAAACTGAAAACCTCGTATGTTAAATCGCTTTTTTCCAATAAAAAACTCCGGAAAAGTCGAAAATTCGAGAAAAAAACTGGCAAAAAATCACAAGACGTCACTTCAAAATGGCCAACTAAAAGCAACGATGTTGCCACAAAATTCAATTTAATAATTAATTAATAATGATTATAATATAAAATAGTAAACTTGTTTTTAATTTAATTTCAATGAAAATGACATTACAAGGTTTCTTTATTGATTATAGTGAGTAAGACAAAGACAACGATAAAGTAGTGTATGTTTGCAAAAACCACCGTTTTCTGAAAAAAGTAAAAAATCTTAAGAAAACCCTATAGAAAATCAACATTCCAAAGTCAATTTGATAAAACTAAAGTTTTTGAATATTCCCGACTCTTTGATCGGACGCTAAAAATTGCATTTCAAATACTTCCGGTTTTTAATTGGCTCTAAATTATCCGCTGACCAATAGAATTATAGACTGAGCCCCGCGATTAAAATAACTGTAGCCCGTGGGGCTCGCATATAACTCTAGCCTTTCGGGCTCGTATTACTCCGGCCCTTTGGGCCGGTATTACTGAGTATCCCAGATTCACAGATTTTTGTCGTGGAGGCGCGGGCTTGATTTAAATAATGTCAGATTTTTCCAAATTACATAGAAATATCGAAAATTGGAATTCTGTTGTGTAATTTGTGAATTATTATTTTAATTAGAAATCAGGAATAAAAAATTGAGATTGAATTTTCAATTTTTTGGGGGAGGTTTAGCCTCCCCTGCCTCCTCTGACGAGCCGCCACTGCAGGTTTGAAAGGCTAATCCAATAGTTCGATAATATACGAGGTGTGCACCTACTTCTCTAATCTCTATGTACATAAATCTAGAATAATGGATTTATTAATAATAACTGGTAGAACTATTGGAACTTTTCAACGACAAACCTAGCTAATAAAAAATATTCAATTCATATTTTTCCTCTTGTTAGGAAGCCTGTGATGACATACCCAAAAAACAGACAGTTACCCATACCAAAAAAAATAGAAAAAGACTTTAGCTTGCTCGCAGATCTCCAAATGGCTTTCAACCTACCGCTTTATCAAAATTATCATTTATGGAATTATCCCAATAAGCTATTCACTGAAATACTGTTGCCTTATGACTGTCCAGAATATCAAATGATAAGTAATCTTTTCACAGTCAGAGTCTATGGGTATGAGATTACTCAAATTTTTAAAATCGAAAATCCCTTCATTTCATTGCACTACCATATTGCCAAAAGCAAATTTTTGACCCAAAATGATGAGGATGAGCTCGAAGAAAAATTCTATTTCCATGGCACTTGGCAGGAAAACTTGCCCAACATTTGTCGATTTAATTTCGACAGATCGAAGGTAGGTTAAATAATTGGCTGGACATGGTCAATACTTGCTCAATATTTATTTATTACTTTTTAGATCATACATCACAAATTTGGAAAAGGAATCTCATTCGCCTACAATTCTAAATATGCTACTGAATATCCAAAAGGTTGCCAACGATTTAATAAAATGATGGTCGTAGCCAAAACTTTTTATAAGCACCCAATTGAAATTGGATATAAAAATACAATAGTACCAGAGGGGCCTTCAGATACTACAAGAAATCAAGCTCACACTGTTTTGGTGAAATATGATGACGCTTCATATTATCCTGCTTACGTTATTAACTATCATAGAATCTACTAAGAAAAAGATGGCAATAATATTACATGAATAAATGACTGTATTTTTATTTATTGATGATGGTAATTTTTTGCATCTTTTTTCACATATAGGTGAAGAGGAGACATGCCTCTAAGAATAAGTAGGTAGTGTTTTTCCACATTGTGGAATAAAGAATAAGCAATAAAACAAAAATAGAAACACAAAATACAAAGTAAGTACCTAATCAATATTTCTAGAAATCACACATTGTGTATAACAGGAAGTTCCTTATTGATATTTTTTTGAAATAACCCGAACCTGCAGCAGTCAGTCCCATGAGTATATTCAATAGTATATTAAATGATTTATCTGGTCTGACTCATCAAAATAGGATAAAATTTTGCTTACTTATTGATTCGCAGAAGTAACATGACGGGTTTGATGAGGGCTTTTACCGCTTTTATTTTCACCACATTTAACGGAAAAACTTGACCACCATTTGTAAATTCAATTTTGACAGATCTAAGGTAGGGTACGTCATTATTGTGATAGTCAATTTATATCAAGGAATTTTCAACTGGAATGCTACTCCCCAGGCGTGTTCACTATATCAAGCAACTCTCTGAGACGTAAAATTTGCTGTACAAGATTCATTATAGGTATTTTGCTCAATAATAATTTCATTATATGTTTCAAATTTGCAAAAAAAATCTTATTCACTAACGATTCTATAGTCCGACAAATACCATTTTAAAGTCACGTGATACTAGTGGCAAAAAACTTATGTCCATTGATTATGTCGTTGATATCACCTACAAAAAGCTACTGGTGGTTAATTACTATTGAATTTTAATATATGTTCCCACTGGCATTTTACAAACGCGTTTCTGAAGTAGTATTGACCAATCAGAGGGCCATTTTAATACTTGCAATTGTTGCGAGGCTCACTTTTGTCGCATCTGCTGTCTGTTGTAATAAATTCTGAACTTAAACTGGGTACCCGTTTTCCATTTGCTTCTTTTCGAGTTGGAAAAAGGTTAATATAAGTCAAAATTATTAGCTGTGTTTGTTCGTTGTATTATTTTAGAAAATAACTTTGACAAACTAATTGATGACAGTGACGGATTCTATTTCAGGTAAGAATATTATGAACAATAATTAGACAGCAATTTTTTTGTCAATTTTACTATCACCGCTGTTTGAGATGTATTCAACAAGGATAGAGAAAAATCACGTGACTTTAAAATGGTATTTGTTGGACTATACATATGCGACCATCTGCAATGCAAAATATTTAATAAAGTTATGGTCGTAGCCAAAATGTTTTATGACAATCTGCTAGAATATGGATTCCTTTTTCCAATTTCACCAGAAGAGCCTGCTGACGACGCTCCACATTACCCTGCCTATGAGATTTATTATCATACAACATTTGATAACGACGTCAATGATTTTTTAGATTACTATGAGAATTATGGTAATGAATATGAGGATGATTATGAAGAGGAAGATTACTATGATAAGGATGATCATGATTATGAAGATTACTATGAAGATTATCATAATTATGAACATGAAGATTGCTATGAGGATGATTATGAATATGAAGATGAAGATTACTATGAGGATGATTATAATTATGGAGATGAGGGTTATTATGAGGATGATTATCATAATGAAGAGGAGGATCATTATAATATTGAAGATTATTATGAGATTGATTATAATAATGGAAATCAGCATTATCTTGATTATGATTATGTGGATGAAAACTTAGATAGCTATTATGAATGTGATTGTGAATATAATACTGAAGGCAACTGGATGGAAGTCATCCTGACGATTATGACTACTAAAGGTATGATTCCGAAAGCGACTGCAGCGACGAACCGCAACTGCAGACCGCAAACGACAACCGCAAAGTAGTTGCCGCCCGCGGTTGATTTGATTCCGAAAGCATCCGCAGCAGCCAACCGCTTCTTCAATTCCAGTCTATACTTAACCAGAGAAAATGTCTGATGTGTTTGACCCTCAGGATATTTTGAGCATTCTATGGGAAGAAGAAGACGACGACGACCTCTTGTTGTTACATTATTCCAGAAAAAGAAGAAAGCATACGATATCATTATTCAAAACTAGAAAAACGGAACGCAGTTATTCAGTGCTGATTAATAAGTTTTTCCTCTTCGGCATTCGAAAAACTTATTTTCCTAACCACGTGTTAACGATATGCAGTCGAGCCACCTACACTACTCGTAAAATACTGGTTCAAGAGCGGTATTGCGGTTTGCAGTGGCGGCATGTCGCGATTTGTTTCGAATTTGTTTCATTTGATTTTTTATTAACCAGTAGTGCCTGCGGTTGCAGTCTGCACCCTGCAGCGATGTTCGGAATCGTACCTTAAGAGTAGGCACTGATGTCGACAGTGCATGTTTTAATAATTATTATTGTTATTATCTAGTTTTGTTCGCATTAAAAAAGTTCTATACCATTGTTGTATTAGTAGAGGTAGACATTTGCTTATGTTATAGAGTAATTTAAATAGTTAATTCAATAAGTTCATGGAACTGATTAGCCAACAATATAAAACTATATTCTTTAAAGAAGTTTCTGTTTATTATTATTTAGTGAACATAAATGGGTCATTTTACTTTGAAATATGTAATATTACATTACTTATTCCTTTTTGAGAGGTCGCTTTAACATAGAATGTTTATGCTCCTCCACCCACTGTTATATTATAATAAAGAAAATGATGCATATTTGCTTAGGTTAAAGGTGGAAATTGAAGTGATCCGATTGGAATCAATAAAATTGATGAACAAACAATAAAGAAATCCGTTGTATGATTTAGGGCCAAATTATGGACCAACTGGTAAGTGTTTGGTTCTTACCTAGCAGGTACTTTCTATTCTCTAGTGCATAGAAAGTACCTGCTAGGTAACAACCAGACGTTTACCAGTCAGTCCAGAATTTGGGCCTAAGTTTAATTGTTTTTAATAACACCGACAGGAATGGAATGGTGTATGCACCCTAGAAGTTCAAAAATTATTATTAGACTGTATCTTGAGCCTCCCCTCCAAGATGAAAGTAAGAAGATGCCAATGTTATTTCTATAGATTACGAGCATAGATTACGAGTTTCTAGCAACAGTTCCAGGTAGTACACCGACTTTATGAAACATGAAATCATTGAAATTTCATTCGGAGATCAAATTTTCATACTCTGTCTAAAATTTCGTCCGTTAGAACCTATTTCTATATTTAACTGTTTGATCTTTTGTTGGTTTCGTAGCGCATGGGTTCCACACTATCCTTCTGACATGGAGGAGATGAAGGCCGGTCCCACACTGTGGGTGAAATGGAGGCCGGATTCACATCATTCGTCTTTCGGACATTGAGGGAATAAAGGGCGGTTCCACACTATGTAACCTTCTGACATAATGGAGGAGATGGAGGCCGGTTCCACACTGTGGGTGAAATGGAGGCCGGATTCACTTCTTTCGTCCTTCGGACATAGAGAAATAAAGGCCCCTTCCACGCTGTAGGTGGAATGGAGGCCGGTTCCACACTATTTAACCTTCTGGCATGGAGGAGATGAAGGCCGGTTCCACACTATGGGTGAAATGGAGGCCGGATTCACATCTTTCGCCCTTCGACATTGGGGGAATAAAGGCCGGTTCCACACTGTGGGTGAAATGGAGGCTTTATACCATTTGTCTTTATTGAGCTTCTAGCTATTGCACTTTCTGTCACCATGGATTATGTTAGTAGTGTTCTCGTGTTAGTACTTAGGTAATAGAGACTTTTTGCACCTCTTAAAATAACAGCAGTTTTTGGATTAGTTATGGTTTCTTTTATCCCAAACGTTTTATTTTCGTTATTCTACTTTGCCTCTGGGCCATGGACTGCGCCTGCGCTTTCGGATGTAAACCAAATGTCATAAAAAATAATTCATGACCTGAAATTTATTATTGTATCAAATTTTCTGCTTTTCTAGTATATTGTCTACTACATAGTTTTGTCGTTTTGTGTTGGTTTTTGTCACGTTTTTGGTAATACCTCGGTTCAGTTTGGCGAACATCAGTCATGTTGGAAAGTTTGTAATTTTTTTTTTTTTAATTTTAAAAATATAAAATCACGTAGCTACGCACCACACGAACCACACAAAACCGTCGTTTTTAAAATTCGTTTGACGCCTCATAAACAAACCTTATGTGATTACAAGCAGTTTGTCCAGATCGAAAGAATACCTAATGTTCATTCATTGAACAACGTTGCCATATCTCTTGTTGGAGGAATAAATAAATAAGTGGAAGAAACTAAAGAAAGGAACCTGAAGAAAGCAGTAGACTGTAGTTGAGTCTATTTTTGTTATTTATAACGCAAATTGCAATCATTAAAATGATAATCCACACCCTTTTTTCAGATGATTTTAATTAATTAATTATAACGAACATTTTCTTCAGTGGCGGCGCGTCGGGGAGGCACGGGGAGGCTCGAGCCCCCCCCCCCCCCACTTTTTTTGTAATACATGAAATTTTTTTTCCATAATTTCAAAAAAAATTTAGATTAACAGAAATTCCTAAATTCCCAGCTACAGTCAGAAGCCGTGCTCCTTTTTGTCATCTTTTTCGTCGATTTGCTCGGAAATTTTGACAGGCACGTGATTTGTAAATTAAAACTGTTTGATCCAGTCACGTGCCTGTGAAAATTTCGGAGCAAATCGACAAAAAAGAGGAACACACAACAACAAAAAACGAACACGGCCAGAGTCGCCGGCAAAAAATAAACGTCGACTTGTGTTTCTTAATATAGAAATGACGTATTTCTTGTTCATTGTTCCTTGGAAAGGCTCTTAGTACTTATAGTCCGGGAGTTAACAACATATTTCATTGTACCATTTCCGCAAGCTTCATTCTTTTTGTATGTGTTATGCGTGTAGTATATGATAGTAATCTGAACGTCTGCCGGCGCACTAACACGACAGGGGGTTGCAGGGGGGTTACAATTACAGCAAAAAATGAACGAAAAAAACTTAAAACCGCATAAGCGAAACTTATTGTACGTATTGGTAGAAACATAGAAAGCTCAGAAAATATGGTCTGCCACCTAAATTCCACAACAAAAGTCGTCTGCCACCAGCCAGAGCTGGGCAGTAGCTAGCTACCAAGTAGTTAAGCTACTAGCTTAGCTACTTTTTGGGTAGGTAGCTAATAACTTATTCAAGCTACTTTGAAAAAAAAGTAGCTTGTAGCTGTAGCTTTTGGTAATGTCTTTCAAGTATTCATAAGCTATACTGTGAAAAGTAGCTAGCTACTAAAACAAGCTACTTAAGCTACTTTTGGTAGATAATTAATCCATCCATTCAACATTGTTTTTAAAAATAAACAGTTTTCCCCTTATAAAGGCACGTTTCCACCAACCTATCGCCCGCGTTTGAATTTACCGCTCGAAAAAAGTAA